ACAGGGCTTGTTTTTGCCCTCAACTCCTGAGCGCTGTAAAAACTCCTGAACACTGCCTGGCAATGCAAGGGAAATAGCTCTGGGCCAGGAGAGGGGCTTGGGCCTGCTAATGCCTTCCCTTCCAGAACCATGGAGGGCCTGGCTAGAGAACGAGGACATAGGAAGGGGCAGTGAGGTGCCCTGGCCTTGGGGGAGCTGCGGCCATGCTGTGCTGTGGGGACAGCTCGGTTAGGGCCTCCAGGGCTGCCATGGGACAGGCAGGGTGTGAGCCTGGTGAGTCACAGGCAGAGCTGCCATCTCTGGCTGCTGGGGTCCCAAACGCAGCAACCATGCAGGATTGATGGGGGATGTGAGGGCTGGTGCCATGGTACAGGTCATAGAATCATCTCAGTTGGAAGGGATGCAGAAGGATCATCGAGTCTGACTCCTTCAGTGAACTGATGAAAAAAACTAGTTGAGTTATTGGAAGATCAAAAATAAGGAAATCTGTAATGTGAATTTTAGTAATTTTGTGAGTTCTCTTAACATTCTTTGCTGTCTTCATCTCTTTATCATCAGTGTTACTACTATTTACCATCAAAAATGCTAGAATTAAGACTCGTTGGTTCTTTCAGTGCTAGTAAGTGCTCAGCCTACTGGCTGTTATGTATGACAGAGTTAGGACTGCAGACATTATTAATTTATATAATAGTTACACTAAGTCCTCAGTCATGTGTGGGATTGTTAGACTTATCCTATTTTAGGTTCTCTACAGTCAAGCACCTCAGCTTTTGCTCTTTTAATTCTGAGGGACAGCATAGAAAATGAATGCACAAATTTTCTGGCCAAATAGAAACAGCAGGTTTTCCCAAGGCAAAGGAGGAAATGAATGTGCCCAAGATGACAAAAAAATGGGTGCATGCACACAAGCTTGGATCAGACTCCTAGGACTAACAGGCTTAATTCACTGCAAAAAGTACACACAAGTCCTGAAGTTGCCCTGAAGTTGCTCCTGACTTGCCCTAGCAAGATGGTGGCTGGGAGCATAGTGACACTAACAAATAATTTACTAGATTTAGCCACTGGCTGCTTTCATGGTTCTCTGGAATGAAGGAAGACATCAGAAGCAAGTTATAAAATAACTTTTGGGCTACAAAGATGATTAAAGGCCTGGAGCAGTTCTCCTGTGGAGACAGGCTGAGGGAGTTGCAGTTGTTCAGCATACAGAAGGCTCCAGTGGGACCTTACAGCACCTTCCAGTACTTGAAGGGGACCTACAAGAGAGCTGGAAAGACTTTTTACAGGGGCAGGTAATGGCAGGACAAGGTGAGGTGGCTTTAAACTGAAAGAGGGCAGGTTTAGATTAGATATTGGGAAGAAATTCTTTACTGTGGCAGTGGTGAGACAATGCAACAGGCTGCCCAGAGAGATTGTGCAGGCTCCATCCCTGGCAATGTTCAAGGCCAGGTTGGATAGGGCTTGGATGGGGCAACCAAGTCTAATGAAAGGTGGTGCATGCTCCATCCATGGCAATGTTCAAGGCCAGGTTGGATGGGGCAACCAAGTCTAATGAAAGCTGTCCCTGCCCAGAGCAGGGGGGTTGGAACTAGATGATGTTGAAGATCCCTTCCAACCCAAACCATTCTGTGATTCTGTAACTGTTCTGGTGAGTCATACCAAGCTCACAGGCCATAAGTTTAGCACTGTTAGTACAGGGACAGAGGTAGTGTCAAGATATGCTTCCCTCAAGCTTCATTTTAAAAGTCACCCTTTTTATTGCATTGCCTTTGGTTTTCCTTGCCATTCCCCCAGGAAAGTCTCCTTGAATATTGTGTCATGGATACATTATTCCCTGTAAAATAATAAAGATGTGCACAAAGAATTTAAATTTTCTAATTATTTTATTTATAAAATTGTGTATTGAAATCAACCTTGACATTCCACTTACAATGTTAATGAAAGTTAGAAAGGAAATTATTTGAAAGATATTAATTCTCTTAAAGCAAAATACATTCCAGTAAAACTAAGTCCACTTTCTATAACTGAGACAGAGTCACATATAAATCCTTTTACCATGCCCTTCATACAGAGCAAGAAGAGTGCACAACCTGCATGAACAGAGTGAAAATCCTGCAATAGTAAAATTCCTCTGCAAATCCCCCTTCAAGGCAAGGCCACAAGACAAAGCCTGGCTCTTGTCTTTGTTGAAACTCCCCACTATGAAGTTCAAAAAAATGGGGCAGTAGGGTAAATCATCCTACTACATTAAATCATCCTACCCAAAATGGATTGGAAGGAGTCTTTGAACCTTTGTATGTTCAATTTCCAATCTTTCATTGTTTGCTAATTTCCCTGTAATTTCCACTTTTCCTTGCAGTAGCTCCCAGGATCTCAACAGTATTGTCTGAGCTTTTTTCCTTTTTACCCTTCACTGTGTTTTTTTCTTTTCATATCTCCTGTTCAGTTCATATACCAAATCATCCCTTTTCTACACTAAATTCTCCACTGAATGTAATAATCTATTAATAGTAATACATTAATCCTGTATGTTCTTCAAACGAAATGTCCATAGTAGAAATAATAAAACCACAAAAACCCCTTGACATTTCTCTGGATGCCATCTATCATAATTCAGCTTATTTGGTTCACATGCTACATGTTTTTCCCGTGATCCTTTCACTTGGCTGCAGTGCAAGAACAATCTTTTAAATGGATTTTACACAGTAAAGCTTCAGCAAGAACTGCATAAATATAGCAAAGAGTTGTCTATGTGAGCATAAATTTAGTTAGAAGTAAAGATACAGCAACTCATTCAATTTCAAGATAAAATAGCTCAAGAATAGTGTACAGGCTGTTTTTTTTTGCAGGAGACACATTAGAAGTAAAGGTACAGCAACTCATTCAGTTTCAAGATAAAACAGCTCAAGAATAGTGTACAGGCTGTTTTTTTGCAGGAGACACATTGGCTCACCAAATGCAAAAGTTAGAACAATCATATTCCATTACCTGCAAAAAGAATATAAGCTGGCAAATAGGACCTAGAGAGTATACAAAGCGCTTCATTCAGATCTCTACAAAACTATATAAAATGTTTATGTCCCTTTAAAGGTTTTTTAGAGCCAGTCATGAACTGTCTGAGTAAGAGAACAGGATTACACTAATTTAACAGTTACTTGGCTATGCTCATTTTCTCCCATATGGATTTTCTACTAACGCATTGATGGAGTAAATAGTTTTCATTGTCTCAGTCTAGACAGCAGTTAGATTAGGATCAAAAAGATGCCATCTCTCATTTGGTCATATGTCTGTCAGGCATACAGACACCACTTAGCTAACTGTGGTGTACTGAGGGTGAAATGCTGTAGAAAAGAAATTTTCTGCATTCAGTGAGTAATTGTCACAGTTTATTCACTACAGATGTCTGGAACTTGTTAGTTCTCCCATCACTGGAGCTTGAGGGGTGAGGGGGGGAAAAAAAGTGAAATAGTCTTAGTATTGCAAAATCCTTCAGTAAAATGTGAGAAGGAAAGAAAGCATCTACTGTAGGCCAGAGTCAAGATATTTTAGAATTCTAATGTGAGCTATGGCATATACTCTCAGGCCTTGACCTGTTTCTCAGCCTACAATATGGAAGATGGCTTTTGCAAAGGGCTGGACAACTCTGGGGTTACTTGATGAATCCAACAGGCTATATCCACAAAGCATTAAGTGAACAGTACATCTTCACCAGACCCGGTATGGCCCAGTGTGGAAGGCAATGAGCAGCCAAGAGAACACGTATCTTCATCCATGTAAGTACAAGCACATGTGCACGCATGCACAGAGCAGCCCAAAAATGAAGCAACTTCAGTGTCTGTAGCTTGTAGACATTATTCAAAGTGATAATAGACCCTATCATCAGACAAAAAGGCTTAAACACTTAATTCAGAGGAAGTGGATGGTCCCAGGAAAGAATGCACCCTTTTCTGACAAAGATCTCAAACACTTGCACGTACAGCTGAGGAAAGTAATTCTAGTATAAGGAGAAAGAATAAGAGTTTACACTACAGGGATCAAAATTGAAATGGGATAGATCACAGAGTAGCTGAGGTTGGGAGGGACCTCTGGAAGTAATTTGGTCCAAACCCTCTGCTCAGGCAGGACTATTCAGAGATGGTTGCTCAGGACTATGTCCAGGTGGCTTACGAGTATCTCTTGAGGTGGGAGACTGCTGGGCAGCACTCAAGTCACCCTCGCAGGGAAGAAGTGTTTTCTCACATTCTGAGAGAACCTCCTTTGTTTCACTTTATGGCGGTTCCCTTTTGTCCTGTCACTGGGCACCACTGCCAAGAGCCCAGCTTTGGTCTATCTGCAGCCCCTTTCGGTATTGACACACATTAATAAGGTTCCCCTGAGCCTTATCCTTTCCAGGCTGAACAACCCCAGACCTGCTTTAATTGAAGTTTTTAAACAAGCAGGACTCCTTGCCCTACCAGGACCTGCAGATCTGCACTGACAGAAAAAAAAAAAACCAAAAACAAAAACAAACCAAAAAAACTCACACAAACACAAAAAACCACAAAACCATAGCTGAAGACAGGAAAGACTGCAACAGGCTTGAACGAACGAGGGAATGACACCAACATGGAAGTGAGCAAGTTTCGCGCCCGTGCTGAAGGAAGGCTGCTGAGAGAGCAGCAAGGCCAGGGCTGAGCTCTACCCAGGGCACGGAGCCGGCACCACGACAGGCGGCACACGTGTTCCTGCTGGAGAGAGGGCGCCGCCTGTTCTCCCAAAGAAGCAGAACATTGATTCAACCGAACGAGAGTCTCCCCGCTGGGGAGATGACGGAGTGTATGCACCCCGCGTTCCGTCACGGTGCCGCGGTGCCACGCTTGCCTTCCCCCCTGGCCTCCCCGGCCCCCTCGGGCACGGCGAGCACACCGCACCGGCTGCCACTGCGCCCGGAGCCCGCCCCGCCGCCCGCGGCTCCGCGCCTGCGCCGTGCGCAGAGGTCAGCGCTTCCCCTTCCGGCCGTGCCGCGGCTCTGTCAACATGGCAGCGGCGCCGGGCGGGCGGCCGCGCTGCCTCCTCTGGGCGGCAGGTGACGGGCAGGGGGTGCCGGCTCCGCCGGGCTGGGTTGCAGGGCACAGCGGGGAAGAGCGGTGGGGTTGGGAGGCGGGCAGCGCTGGGGCAGGCACGAGTGTAGGGAAGCGCTGGGGGTGTGAGGGGCCAGGAGGGAAGGGAGGCTGTCAGCTGGCGCGGGTGAGCGCCCCGGCTTGGTTCGGGCATCACTCACGGAACGCTTTTCCTTTGCCTCGCAGTGGTTGCACATGTGGTGGCGTCAGGTGCGGGCTTTGTGGAGGATCTAGATGAGTCGTAAGTATTGGGGTGTCTTGCCTAATTGCCAAGATATTGTTTGTCTTCTTGTGGGGAACATGACCCCCGACTTTGTGCGTGCTTTGAACTTTGTGCTCTTGTCGAGAAACAGGAAAAGACTGTGATTTTTGTAGCAGGAAGAACAGAAAGGTTGTGGCCTGAAATATCATAGATTTTTCTCTGTTGGAAGGGACCCAAAAGGATCACTGAAGTACAATTCCTGTTCCTGCGTAGGACTCCCGGAAAGTCACACCATGTGCCTGAGAGTGTTGTCCAAACCCTTCTGGAACTCTGCCAGGCTTGGTGCTGTGACCATTTCCCTGGGGAGTCTGTTCCAGAACCTAAGCACCGGCTGAGTGTAAAACATTTTCCTGATATCCAACCTAAACCTACCAACACAGCTTCCTGCTGTTCCCTTGGGTCATGCCACTGGCCACCAGAGGGAAGAGATGAGTTACTGCACCTCTGCTTCCTCTCTTGAGGAATCTGTAGACTCCCATGAGGTCTCTCCTCAGTCTCACCTATTCAGGAGGTTCAATTAATGAAGCTGAGAAACATTTTAATTTTTCAGCTCCTTTAAAGCTGTTACTGTGATGGTGTTGCCAGAAATATTCTTAGGTTTCCTTGCTTGTTCTTTCTTTCTGGTAGGGTAAATATATTTGTGTGTTGGTGCTTGCCCCAAGGAAAAGCTGATTGTATTTAACCAAGTTCTTCATTAGAATTTGCAGCGTGGCTGCCACCAGGGGTTGGGAAAATGAGTCTGAGTGTGTTCATGCGTGGCCAGAAACGGAAGAGAAGGAGGCTGCAGGACTAGTTCATGGCTGCTTGAAGTGCCAGTAATATTTGTGTAAAAATGTGCTTTTATAACAGAATTAGTCCCAAGACTGTGCCAGAGTTCAAGTGGCTAGTCCTGCCATGAACTTGGTTATGTATTGTTGCTGTTGGTGTACTGGTTTGCTGTAGCAGTTTGGTAGCTACATAAGTGCTGTTTCCTAAAACAATTACCCAAATGTTTTTTGGGATTTGTCAGATTAGGAGGTTGATATCAAGTGCTACAAAGCAGCATGATTATTGGAATGGAAAGATGCATGTGTTTGCAATTGAGAATAAGAATTGTTCAGGGCAGGTTTTGTGGGGGATTTTTTGAACTTATTGTAGCTAATTGGCAAGTGGTGAGAGAGGTCAGGAAAACGATTTAAATTTAATGGAAATTAAAATTTAATTTAAACAATTTAAATTTCAGTTTAATTTTGCTCCAAGCTGAGGAGCAGTGAATGGTGAAGTTTTAAGTTTTCCATTTTATAGATACCTAAACGTTATGGACATTCTGCTGTTGCTGAAAGATTTGTGTTCTCTTTGAATTTTAGTAGCTGTAAACAATGGTTTACAAGGTGCAGGTCCCTTTCCTAAGCTTATAGGATATAGGAAAACAAGTAGCAGAGCTGTCAGAAGTGCCCAGCTGGGCTGCAGGAGGGATGCACAAAACCAGCTGTGGTTCCTCTTGGCTTGTGCTGCTCTGATAGCAGATCTGCTGCCTCAGGTGATGGGTGCTGATGGGTGATGGGATCTGATGCCTCTTGTGATGGGTGTGGACTTGTTCTAGTGTGATAATGAAGCAGATACTTAAGTCAGGTTACTACCTGACTTAAAAAGGAAGTGTTTTTCTGTCTGTGGGGTAGCTCAAGCCAGGATCAGAAGCATCAGAAATTGTGCAAGGGGAAAGTAAAGAGGAGATACAGTAGCTGGGTTGTTTTAAGGCCCTTGGAACTGTGATCTTGGTGTTCAGTTCTGCTGCATGCTGGTTTCTTTTAACTGTTCATGATTAAGTGTGGTGCTTTGTTTAAGTGAGGGCTGAGAGAACATTTGATCGTGTAGCTGGGAAGATGTATGGGTTTGAGACAAATAATTTTGATTCAAGGGTGTGCAGCACTTATGCCATCTTTCTACCAGTGCGATTGTGTTTCTGTCAGCTGACAGAGGCTTGCACAGAACAGTTAAAAAGAGACACTGAAATTTTGTGCATGGAAAACGTATTTATAGGGTCTAGAAACAATATCTTCAGAAAATGCTTCACTGCTCATTTGTAGAGAGATTTCGGTTTTTCTTCACTAGTGTGGAAGTGAACTTCCTTAATATTGTCTAGTAATTTAATCACTGACATTAGCAAAACTGGAGTGAATTTTGATAGGATTTTGTTACACTTCAGATTTTAGTTTCTGTGGAAGTTGATTAAATAGGTGCTTATAGATAAGAAGTATGTTGAAATTTATTACTGTAAAAACTACAGTATTTTTTTTATACAATATTAAACTCTGTTGGAAAGCTCAGCCTCCAGATGTTTCATTCTTTCTCTTTTCTTTCTGTGTGCTCGCAGTGTTGCAGTCTACCTTTCTCAGTACTTAAATGTTCTTTACAATTTGCCGTAACAATTGCACTGTGGCAGAGGAAGGAGAACATTTAATTGTAAATTCTTCTTATACAAAGCAAAAGCGATATTTTAAATTGAAGCACAGCCTAGGATCTTATGATTCAGTAACTGCTTTCTGCCTCTTGCATCATAGCCAATTATTTGGCATTGTAATTGGAAGTTAGCTGTAGCTCTGTTAGAGTTCTCAGGAGATGGCTCTTACTGGTTCTTTCATTAGCTCCATAGTGCTTAGGATGAAGTAAATTTTTAGTGAGGTTGTCAACTAAGCAATTTTGTGACTTAAAAATGCTGTTTTCCTTTAGCAGTTCCATAGCATAGTCTCTGCAAATACCTTTCCTGCTGCTGTACAGGCACAGCAGCCTTGGTATGCCATCAATAAAAGAGGCTGGAATTTACCAGTGAAATGCTGCAATTCTGAGTTTCAAACACTCAACACTGTAATTAGATTGTATTCATGATTTCTGAATTATTTCTGTCAAACAGTAAGCCAATATCAGCATTAGTATTTCTTCAAGACCATTGTGGACTATTACAGATTCATCTTTAAATGAAATATAATGAATTCTGTCTACTGCTTATGGGCCATTTATAGGCATGCTGCATATTGGGAACTGACAAGTTAGGCTATAACTTGTATTAATTGGATCTTAGAGTGTAGATCCATGCTTACTGCATAATTATAGTAACTATCTCATTTTGTAGGAGGAGTGGTGCAGTAGAAATATTGTATCATGTATGTTATAGTTTGTGACTTTATTCCCAGTCCTAGTCACTTACAAAGTCTGTCCTTTACAAAAAATAAACCTTAGATTAAAGCTCTAGCTAATTTAATTCTCTGCACAGAGCTAGTTAACTAATGCAGTAATTCATATGATCTTGTAGTGACAACAGTGAAATGTGTAAGCAGCATTTTGGGAGATACCAAAGAACTTCGATTTATCAAGCTTAGTTTTGTATTAGAGATTTTAGAATTCAGTGACAGATTTACAGTTAATAAAACCAGTCTTTAAATGCCACTATTTAAATGCCATTTGTTTAGCATTAAGAAAATTCAGTAATACTTGTGTATCTCTGGGTTTTATCAATAACTTGATCATTTTTATTCTATTAAGTTGGTTTCTTGGTTGTGTGCAACTTTAATAGAACTATAAACTGACACACCTATAGTAGAATGTTAAACGACGTTGAACTAAAATTGCTTTGCATGTTAATACTAAAGATAATTTAGTTAGTTTACATATAGTAAAGCTAAGATTAACAGTTTAAACCAATGCTCAAAGAGTCTGTATTAATTCGTATATAAAAATACGACAACAAATATATTTAATATGACTAAGACAACTGAAAAATACTTCTTCCCCCTAGATGCCACATGCTAGTCAAATATCTTCTGTGTGTTTTGGTGTGTATTCTTATTTCTTGCTGTTTTTCTGTTTTGGAGTTTTGGGAGTTTTTTTTGTCTTAAGAAATACAGAAATCTAATTGGCACAGCTGTGTGTGTAGTGTCATGTACAGGGACAATATTATGCTAAACAATAAGCATCTTCTCTGTTTCTCCACCCTCAAAGAAAGAAACAAACCAGTTATCTTGTATCTATAGCATTATATTAACCTTATTGTAGACTTTTTCACACATGCATTTCACTATTTTATTTTCATATACATAACTTAATGCTTTCATTTTTTCCCTTTTCCAGGTTTAAAGAAAACCGTAAAGATGATATCTGGCTTGTAGATGTGAGTATATAAGAAAAATGGGAAGATCTGCTGGTGGAAATCAAAAGACAGACTGTACAGTGCTACACCCTGTAGTCAGGCTGCTTCATCGCTTGGAAAATTGTTTGTACATCATGCAGAAAAGCTTCATGACAGAAATTCTGACAGGATAGATAAGCAATCTGTCTGCTGTTCAGGGTGAACCAGGAATAGGCTGAATAGACTGCTGAATAGTCTGCTGAATAGGCTTCAGTCTATGTTTTGCAGTCCTTTAAAATGGAAAGCAGATTGCCTAACACACTCAGGAGGTGATAATCTCTGTTGAAAATTTTTATAGTTCCTTTCATTAATTATATCAGCTGATTTGTGTTCTAGACGTCTGTTAGTACTGAAAGACCAAATATATGAGACCCCTTTTACTTTTCTAAATTATTTGGAAAGATTCAGTGCCCCTTATTTCAGTGACAAAGAGTTTTTAAAAAGATTTGCTTGTGAATGAGGTAGCATTTCTTTTCTCACCCAAATATGTACTGTAATTCTCAAAATTATATTACTCAGATTAGTGATTTTTGAGTGGGAAAAACTATACAAGCTACTTCGGAGTTATCAGCAATGTATAGCAAAACAAAATCCAACTTTTGTTAAATTGTGACCTTATCTTGTTATACCAAAACACTGATATCTTCTGCCTGTTGACAAATTCATATTTCTGGATAGATTGCTTATATGATCTTTTAAGTTTCAAAAATAAAGTTACCATGCAGTCTATTCCTAAATAAGAAATCATATAATAGTGCAGCAATTTAATGTATTCTTTTCAAACTTGTGCTTTCATAGTAAAAGTAGGACTAAATCATAAATGCTGCTTGTCATGCTAACCTTGTAACTAACTTGCAATTTTATTAAGAGATAAGGTGTACCATGACTGGAAAATAAATCTTGGGTTAATTGTAGGAACAATTTCTACTAATTTTTTTTTTTTTTTTTTGTGAAATGTATTTGCTTCTCAGTTTTATGCACCTTGGTGTGGCCACTGTAAGAAACTGGAACCTGTGTGGAATGAAGTGGGCATAGAAATGAGAAACATGGGTTCTCCAGTAAAAGTTGGGAAGATGGATGCAACTTCCTTTTCTAGTAAGTATGGTTTGGTTAGGGGTAACTTCATCACAGCCTCTTCTCTTTTGAAACTATTATTTTTTTTTCTTGTAGTTGTTCTTCTGTGTCATAGCACAAATATGTAAACAGTAATTGCAAAAAAAATTTCCTGATTATTTTTCTTTCTAAAAGTGACAATTTTCTGTAGTATATGCTTTTGATCACATTTGTTTCTGCTTGAGTAGGGAATTCTTCCTGACAAATGGAAGGTAAAAGCTTCTCAAAGATCTGCTTTTGATATGCCTCTTAGAGTACTGTTATATAAGCATTTTTATGTGGTGTGTCTCTGGAGAGCATCCAGTTTTAGGTTCCTTCTATTACTGTTGGAGGAGTGCTCGTGTTCTTGCTCTTACTCATTTCAGGTAATCGGTCCTGAAGCTCTTCCACAAAGCCTGCTGAAGTAACTGAATTCATTGCATCAGTGATCACTGCTCAGCTGATTCTTCCCATGTTTCTCTGTAAATGTCTTCTCAAAGAACCAAATTCAGTGCTTTCAGTGCTATTTTGTTTGCTGATGCCTTTCATATGTATCAACCTTTTCAGAGAAAACCCCAAACCTTCATTACTGAGAGAAGTGGGTAGACGTGAGAGGATTGTTGAATGCTTAACACTACTTCCTTTGTGTTTGTGTGCTTTTTTATTGTCAATTTGCTTAAATCTATGTTGAACCAGGAGGATATTTAAAAGAGAAGGTTTAGGGATGAGTGGGGCCCTAGTAAGATCTGCATGTAATAAAATTTTGTAAATACATGTAGTGTTTTTAGTTAATATCCATTAAATCTGATTATTCAGGTTTGTTGTATTTGCCTAAAATATTATTCAGAATACTTTTCTCAGTGGTGTTCCAGTTTTTCCTATTCTTAGATATAGGAGAGTTTGGTCTTTTGAGATTAAAATTATTTTTGTCTCAAAGACCAATTTATCTTTTTCTGTAAAACCAAATAAATATGACTTCATGTTTCATCTTCAAGATATTTATTTTCTGTAAAAAAGTAAGTCTGGAGGATTAGAAATTTCAAGGTCATGCAACTAGGTAGCTTCAAAACTGGGAATACCTTTCATGGTTCTCTAACTTTCCAGTCATGTATATAAATTTCTAAGTCATATAAATTGTATAAAGTCTTAGCCTGAAATATTTGTATTTGTCAGCCTGTTACTGAAATCTTGTGCTTTATACCTAGAACAGAATTGGTACTATATTTTTTAATATAATTCATTTTTAGTTATATAAAAATCACTAAAAGCTGCAAGTGTTCCTGTGTGCCCTGGAAAAGTTTTTCTTTTCAGATATGCTACTGGTTTCATAGTGTCTGATAAAACTTTTGAAATAGTTTTGTGCTTTCATTTGAAAGTGGAAATTTTACATCTGAATATGAAAAACTCAAGTCAACTCTGCTTAATACCTTTGCAATCTAAATATTCTCTGAAATCAAAGTAGTTCTGTCTTGAAAATATCAGAAGGAGATGCAGCTGTAATGTGTATGTGTCACTAGGAAGGAACATGAGTGGTTTGTGTTTATAATAGGAATATGAAATAGTGTGAAAGAGCTGAACTTTGGGAAGCTTGTTGTCAGAGAGCTGAGATCACAGGTGGACATATAAATCATCCAGTAAATGTTGCCTCTGATGGCTCTGTGGAATGGGGATACAGCTCTTATATCAACAGAGCAGTCGTCTGCTGTGGTATCAGTTGGATTTTCTGGGGGTTTAGCCTCAGGAGTCCGCTGTGTGTTAGCAGAGTAGAAATGCATCACACCTAGGGCTGGCACAATTGCTGCTGTTTGCCTGTACTGTATTCTTCATATCAAGAAGTAGAGGTGATGATGTTGTCAGTTGTCTTTGATTAGATGCCTGTAGGTGAGCTGCTAGTTTTATTTGTAGTGCTGTGCAATACGGTGCTTGCACCTGATCCAGGTGAACAACCTTAGGGTCACTTTCTAAACTCTTTGCACACAAGTCGTCCAACATCTTCTTGCTGTGGCACGTTGTTGGTAGCTTCAGAATGGTTTTGTAACAAGCATTGATTCTAGGTGCATTCTGAGCGCAGAGATTGTTACTCAACATGGAATTGCACAAGTATTGCCACAATTTTAGACTTATTTAATCATTTTTTGAGACTGTAGTTTAATTTTTGGAAAAAAGTGAATTTGCTGGAAAATATAGTTTAAGGTGGCTATTGCTATGTTCACAAGTGGAAGGGTGGTTGCAAATTATACTCCTATCTTGCTTGGTGGAAGCAAGATGGAAGTTTTTAAAAAGATCTGAGGTGGGGGAAAAAGCTCTGTAGTTGTCTTACTTTTAACCACTTCAGTAAGCAGGAGGTAAGTATCTGCTTAGAAAGTGCCTGCTTCTGGTAAGGTAGTAGACATTTACTTGTGTGGAATATGATTTTTTGAAATAACTGCAGTACGATACTGCACTTCTCATTAGCCGTTACTCTAGCACTTGAGTAGTTAATTGTCTTCTGTTTCTTTCAAGCATTAGTATTTGCAGCTCTTCATCCTCAATGCTTAATTTTTGCCTCTTCTATTTTCTGTCAATTTTATGTGCATATTCAATGCATGTTACTTTTGGTGAAAGCAGACCAAGCATGTCTCTCCAGAGGATTCTCATGACATTTGAGTTGTGGCACATGAATTGGGAGTCTATGCTGGCACCCTGCACCACCTCTGAAAGAAGTCCAAAATTTAATGATGTAGCTTAATAACATCAAGCTTTTCCTTGTAAGCAAGTAAAGTAAACCATATTGAGCTAAGTGGTATTTTTTTTAATTTGTTTATGTGGCTTGAATAGTAAAACATGTTTAAAGATTAAGGTAGGAGAGAAAAAAAAGTCTTGGTTCACTTTGGCATGGAACTCGTTTCTTTCAGGTATTGCATCTGAATTTGGAGTGCGAGGCTATCCAACAATTAAGCTGTAAGTTGCTCCTTCCTATTTAATTTCTTTTAATGGTCTCATGACAAAAAATTAAAAATAGCCCTGTCTATTTAGAAGTCTCAAACCCATGTAATGTATAGTCCAGTACAATGTCATGTTAAATAAAGACTCAGTGGTTCTGAGTACTTTTTACTGTGGATGTACTGGTGATTTTAGCAGGTTATTGTTTAAGCAAACAGTATTCCTAATAGGTGATAATAAATCAAGTCAAGTTAGTTTTTTCAAAAAAGGAAGCAGGGATGTTCAGTTTGATAATCTTTAAGGATGAAAATTTTCATGCCATATAGAGGTATTAAAAATTCCTCTGAAATTCCTAAACCTCTATGGATTCAAATAAAGCCTGTTAGAATTAGTAAAACTTGCTTGAATACTTTGCCAATGCAAGCATGCTCCATCCCCTCTCAGCAGGATACCGTAGGCTGACCAGCACTTCACTGAAGCTTAATACATAAATTTGAAAGATTTTGCAGATTATTTGATACACTGCAATTATAAAAAAAAAAACATTAAAGAAGTTTATATGCTTTCCTTTTACAAGGAGTAATCCCTGAGTAGTATAAATGTTGAGTATGTTGGGTTTGGTTTGCATGTGGGGTGTTTCATCATTTTAGGGAGGCTTTTTAATATGGTCATAACTAAGTGCTCTAAATTATCTGTATGCTTTCAAAGTAAATGACCACTGTGTACTAGAAGAAAGAATTGTAAAAGAATTTAAAGTATTTCAACAAGTCAGTAAATCAGATACTGTGTAAATAAGCTTTTATTCCATAATTCCATTATATTGCATTACTGAGTTTTATATTTTAGTGATCAGTTTTTCTGCTTATCACTTGCTGAAAGGCAACTGTAGTAAACATGTGAAGGTTGAGAAGTCTTACATGCACGAACGTAGTTTAGATGATTGCTTTTCTGTTCTTTTTTTGTCTATTTATCTAGCTTGAAAGGTGACTTGGCATACAACTACAGAGGACCTAGAACCAAAGATGACATAATTGAATTTGCTAATAGAGTGGCAGGGTAAGTATACTCTTCTCAGAGACTGGTTCTGCTGACTTCAAACTTATGTGGGACTTTGAGATGAGCCCAGAGTTAGTTAAAAAGAACAAGATACTGAAGTAAAAAACTATATGTACAGTGTGTGTGCCTGCCTGGGAGACTGGTGCTGAGTTAAGATTATTTATTTTTGAGGCCACATTTCCTGGCTGTTGTGCTTACATTCAGAATTTTCTCTCTCAAACAATGGAGACCTTATTGTGGCCTTCCACTGTATAAAGACATCTCCTAAGAATGACAGAGAGAGTTTTTATCAAGGTCTGTACTGACAGGATAAGGGGAAATGATTTTCAATAGAAAGAGGGCAGGTTTAGAAAAAATATTAGAAAGAAATTCTTTGCTGTGAGGGTGGCAAGACACTGGACCCAGTCGCCCAGAGAAGTTTTGGATGCCCCATCTGTGGAAGTGTTCAAGGCTAGTTTGGGTGGGGCTGTGAGGAATCTGGTCTGCTGAAAACTGTCCCTCCTTATGGGGGCAGGGTTGGGACCAGATGATCTTTAAGGTCCCTTCCAGTCTAGCCCAGACTGATTCTGTGACCAGTAAAAGGCATGCATGTTTACATCATAGCAGCATTTTGTAGTAAGATCTGAATTTCATAGTTAAGTGTTCTATTTGATGAACGTAACATGTTATTTGGTGGGGGGAGGGGAGAAGGTTCTTTTTTTCATTCAGTATAAAATAGAATAATAACTTGAAAAACTCAGTTAATTTGCATTTTGAAATTTATTTTTTGAAAAACACAACAAAAAACTGTATGACATTTTCTTGTGAATTTTTATTTGTTTAGGTTTTGCAGGTTGCACAAACTGAGATTTTTCTATGTATTTGTTTGTCTTCCCAGACCTCTCATCAGGCCTCTTCCTAGCCAGCATATGTTTGAGCATGTGCAAAAGAGACATCGTGTACTTTTTGTGTATGTTGGTGGTGAATCTCCTTTAAAGGTTTGAAGCTCAATTAAATAAAGTTACTTCTTTTGACTATTTAGGGAGTAATTTTAAAAATCTTTCAAAAGACTGAAGTGCATGCTTGTAACAAATTCTTGGGTTTTTTTATGTTTATTAAAGTGCATTTACAATCTTATGCCATAAACATGTTTTCAAATTGCCCTTTGAAGATAAGGTATATGACAAAGCTTTTGTTTGACACATACTAAAAGTTCAGAAATTAAAAAAACATTATTTGTATTTTTTCAGGAAAAATACATTGAGGTTGCTTCAGAACTAATAGTTTATACATACTTTTTTTCTGCCTCAGAAGATGTGCTGCCTGAGGTAAGTTGTTTCCATTCCTAGTGCTTCCCCAGAAATGGGATTTTTTTTCCTCATCTATGTAATTTTGGAGTTTGGATGGCACAGAGGTGGCTTCTTACAATATGTTTGGCTTTGGTAGATATCTAAGTAATTACACTGAAACATGTAATGTTTGACTGTATATGGGGAAAGAATACAACCCAAATTTCAGTCTGTCATTGCTTTGTTTTGGCCAAAATACTTGTTCAGTCATATTAATAAAATTAATCAGAGGATGATGAGCAGAACTCAATGTGGGCCACAGAACTTGCTCAAGAAAGTAGATACTTACTAATTACGAGCTTTGTAGCATGAATCAGTAATCAGAAGTAAGTGAAGTGGTAGGTTTTCATCTTGTACAGTACAGCTGATCAACACATTTATCTGCCTGGGGATCAGCCAGTCCAGTCCACTGGCTGCAGAATTCTCTTGTGGCTTTTTTGAGGATTCTGGGATAAGGAAATTATTTATGGTTCATCACAAGGGTGGAAAAAAATTGATATTACTGTAGTGAGTCTAACCATTGTTGCTTACTTGTTGTAGCAAAATCAAAAACTTTTTCATTTACTATCTCCAAGTGAGGCCTAAGTCTGCCCCAAGCCTACTAACATGTGACTTTGAAGTTAGTTGTGGTTAATGGGGTGAGAGCTAGCAATTTGATTTGTTGGTTTGGTTTGGTTTGGTTTTTTTTTAGGCAGCTGCATTTTACAACACCATAAGTAGAACTGGCCTCATTATAAATAGTGTATTGTTAGTTATCCAGAAGCCTGGTATCAAAAGCTACCTTAATTTAAATACTGCTATTTGCACTTCAGCTCCACCTGAGCAAAAAAAGTACTGTTCAGTTATGCAGTGGAAAGAGTAAAAAAGCCTGGAAGTCTTTGAGGTTCTGTGATCACACTGATATAAGCAGTGAGCTTTTTTTTCTTGCAGAAGGTAATTTCCCACCAGTCATTTAAGCTGAAGGAGTGATGGTATTCAATATTCTATGGAGAGAAGCAAAAATGTTCAGAAATTTGTGGTCGTGAGTTGTAATGAGCCTTTGCATTATGATGTGCACTGTTAGGCTTTGTTTCATCAACTTAGGTAATATTATTCCAAGCTTTAGGCATCTCTTGCAAGCTTTAAGCTGTACACAGATTGATTTGTCCTTCAACAATGTTAAATTATATTTTGGGCAAGTGAGAGAACAAAGCATCGTCTGGGACTACCTTCTTGATTCTTCATATCAGCTATTCTATGATAAATTACTGCTTTTGCAAGAAAGTTAATGCAGAATGACAGAAGGCATGTCATTTGGAACTGATGCTGTCCTTTACCTTTCCAAACCATCAGTAAATCAGACAATTCAGATTACATGATCAAAATTAAGCTTATGATGCAGTTCTTTCTTAAACACAAATGCTGTTAAAATTTTAGCTTAGAATGGTAGCAAGCTGTAAGAAGTAGATGCAGTATTTTTTTGTCTGTAGCAATTCACTAAAAACATGAGCTGAATAAAATTGTTTTGAGTTCTAAGAAGAAAGGTTCTACAGCTTGTTTTTTAGTATGTTGCTGACTGTTGTAAATATTACATTCAGCATGGTAATACAGGCTTTTGTTATTTGTCTAAATTAGGTCTGTTTGCAGCCCTGTGTGCTGAAGCTGTTGCTTTATATTCCCATCAGTCTGAAGCACAGGAAATAGCCCAGATTTAGTGGCGCATGTTACTGGTGGTACTATTTTACTCTGCAAAATTGAGTGTCCATTTAGTAGAAGTAGCAGTATGACAGGTATGCTGACAGCAGCACAAATTGGGAACTGAGAGTATGAGTGATAAAACCCTCAAGTTACATTTTCCTATCTGAAGTCCATGTCCAATCCATAAACTATTCTTCATGCTACTGCAGATACCAGTAAAAAAATCACGTTTCTTTTATGCTTTGTGAAATCTACCTCTTAAAAATATATTTGTATTGTGTTACTTTTAATATACAAAAGCTGATGAATTTATCTTAGTACATGTAAACAGGAAATATTTAGGTGTCCTTAGAGATTTTCCCCATTAATTACATTTACATGTTTTCAGATGGTTTTTTTTTTTAAATCTTTTAGTTTTCCATGAATTAATTGAAACCTGACTCTTTCAGTATGTGACGTTGCCTGAATTGCCTGCAGTTATGGTCTTCAAAGATGGAACTTACTTTGTTTATGATGGTAAGTAAAAGTGGACATTAACTTAAGATATTTAAAGCATATAGGGAGAAACTGGTGGAGTTGGGATTTTTTGAACAGTATGTAGGGATGCTGGGAAATTCCCCAGTCTTAGGATAAATAGCCGCTCCTTTGTGAAGGAAAAGAGAAAAAAATTACTAATTCTTCCGCAACAAAATAGAAAGAATTTTGTTTAGCAATACTGAAGTAGAAGTGATGATGTTTCCTTTGTGTTTTCAGTAAGGTGTAGCTTCCAGTATTACAGTTTTGACTGCATTAACATACTGAGAAAAGTTGCTTCTTCTCTCACTGTACAAATTCATCATATACATAGACTGCCTAGCTTGTTCAGGCGAGCGTAGGCTGCAGAAAGGCCACCTGAAACTAGTAGTGTTTTATTGCACTGCTGTTTCTACAGTGTATATATGCAGTACATAAGGGCAGTACACCTGCCACGGCTGTAAAAGTGTATTTCTGTATATATGGGTACATATCTTTATAGAAGTATTCTATTGTACTTAGATTGCACCATAAGGTATTAAAAGCACATACACGTACTCATAGTTACATTGCATAGCCTGGGCTTGTAAGCACACCACTTATTTTCAAAAGCGTCTACTCTTGATTCACATTGTTTCAAATTCAAGTTTTCCTTTTAAGTTGAAAACATATCACTCAGAAGATTATTCTGCAGGTTTAATTTCTTAGGATAAAAATAGCACAGCAAAATATCTCAGGTTGGTCACCAAGAGTATTCTTTGTGACCTCGTAGAATGGATGTACTTGTCTTCCTCTTCAGTTTGTTGCCTCCAGATAAAAATTCACTCTACAGCCTCCGTGATTTGCATTTAATTTTTTGATCTCTTTTAGAGATTCAGGAGAAGGAAAGCTTGTCAGAGAAACACTTATTTTGCTGTGTGGCCTTCTTGTTTTTTCCACACCTTCTAAAACAAATGCAAAAACTAATAATCCAGGCTTTTAATTTACTTTGTAAAAATTTTGCTTTTTCATAATGTACCAGAAACATTCTTGAAAGTCAAACAAATCATGAAGACGCAGTTTAAGAGACTGAATAAGATTTTATGTGCAGCTGTTACGACTGGCAGAAATATGAAGAGCTCATTATAAGGAAAAAGTTATAGCAAAATGCACTTCAGTGCTCTGACCTTTGTCTTGTTTTGGTTTGGATTTTTTCCTTCTCCGTAGTAGGGGAAATGGATGCAGATCCATAGGATGCGTTATGCTTGGAATTGCTTGCTACTACCTTATGGCAGATAATTGTTAACCTGAAATTACTGATACTTCAGTCTTCATGATAGAATTTAAGACTAATGATTTATTGTGCATTTGTTCACATAAAATGCAGCATATATGTATATATGTTTTTTCTTTTTTACTTGTGGTTTAGATCTAATTGATGGTATGTATTAGAATTTAATTCTTAATAGGTTTAAACATCTAGGATCTTAAACCAGCCTTCAGTAGATTGTCAGTCATACATGATTATTTGTTCATTTACATTCACAGTGCTGTTTAATGCATCTGCTTTTTCTTGATCTTTCTGTTTCGTTTAAGGACTCTCACAAATACTGCTTTCTGTATTTTTGTATCTCTGCTTTGTTTGACACTTGAAAAGTTATGTACACACACCCCTTTAAAAGCAGGGTTTGAACCTGTTACTGTCTGGACTGGGTCACAGTTAACTTCTCATGTAGTATCATTTATCCTTGATTTGGAAAATAAAATTATCAAATCAACTTTTCATGCTTTTCTATAATGCATTTTTTGTTCAAGAATTGAAAATAGCTTTAGAAGTTTTAAAACTTAAAATGCCCATAAAAGTGTGATAATTGATGTAACAAGAGTAAAAGGAAAAAAGGAGAAAAAATGGTGTTTGCCTCAATAGTACTGAAATAGTAAATCTGATGGCTCACCTCTTAAGAAAATGTAATCCTTTTTTTTTTTTTTTTTTTTTTTTAATGTCAGAATATGAAGATGGTGATTTGTCATCCTGGATAAACAGAGAAAGATTTCAAGGTTACCTTCATGTCGATGGCTTTACGCTGTATGAACTTGGAGATACAGGTGAGATGCTGCTGCTAAACCCTTTGACACTGTGTACTAAGCAGTTAGAAAAGTCAAAAGAGTACTAAGAACATGTTTTTAAACTTTAGAAATCAATCAATATCAGGTTAGAGCTGATAGTGGCAGTATTTTGTTCATGTTGGACTGACCTGTGACTAGAGGTTTCACACACAGTCCATTACACTAGTCCATTCCTCACAACATACAAGTCAGTGTGTCTAATCCTGTGGTAATCACAAAAATTAGTGGGACTTATAAGAGCATCTTACATTTTGCATAAGTTGCATATTACCTCTTGGAATACATGTAGGGAATTTTAAAATTAGATTTAGAAGTATCAAATGTGGATTATCCAGATATCTTGTATCTAGTGGATTTAGATATCTTTGAAATAGATGTGGCAAGAAAGGTAGAGGAGCATGTATTGAAGTGGACTTGTCCCAGAAGATTTCAGCTTTTCTTTAGCAAAAGTTCTGCAGGCCATATGAAAATTTTGCAGCCAGGTGACCTCTGGAAAAGGCGCATGACTTGTACTGCTCTTGAGGTATATACATACTCTGAGGTACCAGTAGAAATGCTGTAAGTGTTGACTTTTCCAGGCCAGGACATCTTATCATCTATATTCCATTTCAAAATACTTGCATTCGATCAACACTGAGTTTTTTCAGGTTTTCTTACATGTTTATGAAGCTAATATTGTTACACCTACATTTTTGAACGGTTATTTACAGAAATGCTGTTGTTTAAATGTTGTTTAAATATAGCATATTTCTTCCTGTTACATTTTTGTCTAACAATTCCTCAAATAAACAAAAAAAAACCACCCACAAAACAACAAAACTTTATTAATACACGGGAGAAGCCATAATTTACTTTTAAAGAGCTTTATGTATTAATACATAGTACCTGGAATTTATTTACATAATCTTTTATAGTCTAAAAGGTCATTAGTTGTCTACTGTATTTATTAGGTAGCATCTTAGGATGGAAAGAAGTGGGGAAAAAGTGAGAATTGATGTGTGGAAGAAGTGGAATGGGGAGAAACTACTGCTATTTCACAAGCAAGTATGGGAATTAATCATAGGTGTTGCCCTTAAAACTCTTCAGTATTACTTGAACAAGAGTGACTTTTTACTTTTGAGGGGAATGCTTCCTGTGGCATGGTGATAGGTAGGAACTGAGCAATTGGTTGTCTTGATGGGGAGGGTTTTGAGTGAATTGTGCCATCTGAGAGAACTGAAAAATCAGCCCTCTGGAGCCTTGGGTTAATCTGGTTGATGACTGCACTCTTAACAGATTTGCTTTCCTAACTGCAAGTGCTTGATCTGGAGAAACTTTGGCCAGCTTTTTATACATACTTTCATCTGATTGACCATACCACTCTTTGGGTTTGGAATTTTTTGGTTTTTTTTTTCTTTTAATCAGAAAAACTTCGCAAAGTAAATCTTGAAGAGATTGGTATATTCTGGTGTTGACCTTTAAGCTCGTCTGACTGAGGGCTGTGAGCTAAATTGTGTTTCTGATGTCATGAATTCTGGGCTCTGCCAGGACATTTTCCAATTTTTTTTTCCTTAATGCTCACAACAGTATGAAAAACAGTTGTTATTAAATCCATACAATAGTGATTTAATCACTTATAATCAGTTTGTAATTGCTGCTATGTAATGCAGGTCTCTGTAGCCTCATATTTAGGTATAGATTGAGTAGGAAATTAATTTTTATCTGCATTTTCTCCCTTTTAATTTCTTTCTATAGATAGGCTTCTCATGCAACGCTAGTGGTGTGCCATTAAGCCCCATCGTAATTTATTTTCAGTAGCTTCAAGACCACAGCTTGGTCAGCTTGAAAAGGCTCTTTGGTTGTGAGGCTTGTTTATACTTATAAACTAATTCCTGTCCCTGGAGAGTACCTGATCTTCTAAGTTGACATATTTCCCATTGGAGAATGTGTGTTTCTTTTTAAATGGTTTCAAGAATTTTATTCCTTATTTTAGGAAAACTTGTGGCTATTGCAGTCATTGATGATAAAAACTCTTCAGTGGAGCATACCAGGTACAGAATTGAGTATTGGTGACACTATGGGAAAAATGTGCTGGTACGACACAGAGAAGTTTGAAAGTTTCTTAAATATTGAGAAATATAGGTTAAATAAGTGGGTTTAACTTGTAAATGTTCTGACTTAGTGTACTAACTTTACTTAATTTATAGCTTGGTTGAAAGCACGTATGAGTTCACTGAGATGGTGGGAGTTCCTGTATCACTTTTTTGCCATTAGTTAATGGGATCACAGGAGCAAATGATGATCTCATAGCTTTTAAAAGCTATTGTGTCACCTTTTAAACAAAGACAAAAGTGCTTGAGTTCAGATGACTGACTTTGAGATGAACTCAGTGAGTTTAAACAAATGACTGTACTTCAGTTCACTCGTATTGAAAATTACGCTAGCATTGCTTATATATTAATTGTCTGTTTAAACAAGGGATGTTTTTGCTGGGGTTGGAGTTTGCCAAAGAGTCTGAGAGGAGCAAGACCTTCCCTCGTCCCATTCTGGTTGCACATACAGACTAAAAAAATACTGTTCAAGTACTGTGTATGCTATTTTCAACCTTTAGGAACTGAGCAAGATGAACAAGGTGTTTTTTTGATAGTCCTTGTTGCTGATGAGGTATGAATTGCTGCTTACTGGGGAAATCTCAATGTTTATTGTTTGTATTTAGAAGGAGTTTATCCTGGATATCCATGCCATTTTTTTTTCCTTTCAGATTAAAGTCTATTATTCAGGAAGTTGCCAGAGATTATCGGGATCACTTTCACAGGTAGACACACATGGGACTCTGATGTTTTAATTGGACTTGTGCATTAATCTTTCTAAGATATCAGTCACTTTTTTTTTCTAAGTGAAAAATGTTACAGTGTGTGCTTCTATATTTTTTTACTGATACTTAATAGAAGCATTTCATTAACTGTTGTGTTCTAGATCATCACTTTTTTTGAATTACATTTCTGAGTGTGTGCTCTCATTTTCAGTTATAGGAAAAATATTTAATGAAGAACTTGTGCTCAAACCCACTATTGTTTTTTCATCATTTTATTTTTAATTGCTTCTCTTTCAGGGATTTCCAGTTTGGCCATATGGATGGAAATGATTACATTAATAGTTTACTAATGGAGTAAGTAAATTCTTACTTGAATATTCTTTCTTTGGTTGCTTTTGTTACCAAATGCATTTAATTGAAAATAATCTCACAAAAAGTTCTTGGCTTTCATGACTTAAGAAAAAAACACTGTCATCAGAATTCAGCCTGTACCATAGTATCAATTACTTGTTAAATTAAAGTGTATAAATATATAATTTAATGTTAGATGTTTGGCTTTCTGATAATGCTGATTGACAAAGCTTATCTTTTAGGTCTGCTTTGTTAAATTACTGTTAAGAGTTGTGAGGCTTTCATTCTTGATGCATTTTTATGACATGCATAGAAATGCACTTCTGCAGAGAAGCATAGAATGCATGGAAGATGCTGTCTGCACTTCATATGTACATGGTATATTTTCAAATATATAAGTGGTTTAACAAGATGCTTGACAGTTGCCCTTACTGTGGTCCTTTTCTAAAATATACATAATTAGAGAGTTGAGTTGCTTGGCATTTGTTGTTAACTGCTGCTTCTCCTCTGGCCTTTGGAAGTCTGAAAGAAAGGAAAACCAGGAGTCAGTATTATAATTCTGTAAGTTTTCCAAATCCATTTCTCAGGGATCAAAACAATAATTAAGCATGTGTTCATGCCTCCTAAAGATTTTAGGAGCTTCATATGGACCCAAAAGCACAAGGTCTGTATTTTTATAGCATGTCTGTAGATTAACACCTGATTTAAAAACAACTGTCTCTCCATTAAAATTACGTGATTTGATTGAGCTAGTGCTTTATAATTGCCAAAAGTGAGACCTTCCTCACCTGCTTAATTGCTTCTTCTGTGCAGGCTCTTATGTCTGTCTGCTGAGCTCTTTCATCCTGTTTATCTGTCAGAAAAGTGTTTCGTTTTCTGTCTGGGCAAATAGGGAAGTTATTTTGCTGATTCAGCAATGTTATTCCCTGCTCCTCTGCTGAGTACCAGCACGGATGTGCAGAGGAGTAGGGGAGGGCGATGAGATGCCTGGGAGGAAGGAAATGAAAGGAAAGAAGAGAGAACTGCCACTTGGAGTGGTAGTGATCTAGTGGCAAGGTCTGTTCAGCTGGGTTGTTTCACTGAATCTGCAAAGTGCCTGATTTTATTATTTGTAGTATGTGGAAAGTTCTGGTTCAAGTACTCACCAGCTTTTAATTATTTTATAAACCCAGTGCATACCTTTCAAGCATGAGTAGGAATTTGCAAAAGAATGCAGCAAATTATTTTTGTTGTAGTGGCTCTTCATGTGGCTACATGAATAATTCGAGTTTAAAAAAAAAAAAAAGCATTGCAACTGCTTCAGTTTGTCACGAGGTGGCAGCAAGTGGAAATAGAAAAAATCTGAATAATGATAAATGTGTCACAAAACAGTTTTTAGTGTGTTAGATGCACATAGGAGCAAATTCTGTGCTCTTTACAAAGGACAAAATATTGTATGATTTCTGGGGATAGAATAAGACCTTGACAAAAGTACATTTATGAACTTGATTGTAACTCCATTAGTAGACATTATAATTCTGTCTTTTCAGCAGTATGTGAACATGCTTTTGTTGGATTAGAAATGGTACATTTAAAGTCATGCACAAAGATGAAATCAGAATACTGTGTATTTTAATTAAAATACATAATTTACCTAAAATTTTACTTAAAAATGCTTTTCATTATTTTACTAAAAGCAAAATTACAGCTTTTTATAAGCTAAGGTGTATAATATCATGGTCAGCTATAGGTATATGTAGAACTCTCCTCTGCTTTTGAAAGTAACACATTAAATATGTTTTTATAAACTTTTGTATAGCATAAAGAATCTGTATATGGAGGTTAACTTTCAGCTGCTCTACAACCAACTGCAAGAACATCAGTTACCACACTGTTAAATGCAAGAGAAACACTGCATCTAATTAATAAAACTTGTTCTGTTTTGCTGCAAGGACATATTTTGGCAGGAATTGGGAACTTGTTACCAGATGCTTGCAAAAACAGTGACTTGGTTTGAGTGCCTTCTACTTAGATTTCTTCTTTGTCCCTAGTAAGAAGAGAATAAAAATTTCAAGGGGAAATGTTGTATTTATTGACTCTTATGTTGCAGGTTGCTTTGGTGTACAAAGTTATGTTATTTGGTTGTTTTTTCTAAAGTTCCATTTAAGGGATGGCATTATTTTGTTATCCCTCTAATTGCCCTTACGTTTTTTGAGGTGTCACCATGCTTTCAGCTTCAGTACTGGAAAGAGAATCTGCACCTTATATCTTTTAAGTATTCAGCTTTCTGGAAGTTCAGAAAATTGTCATATATTATTAAACTGTGTCACTTTTAGGTTAGCATTTGAATTTAAATCAAAACCAAAAGCCCCACCTAAAATGTGAGAGTAAATTTAGGATCATTTCAGTGACTCCAAAGAAGAATGGGCATCTTGAGTAAATAACCAGTATTTTCATTAAATAATTTGCTATTAATTGATAGCCACAGATAAGACTGAAATCATCATCAATTTTACATGTATTACAAAAGTACATGGATAGGACACATTAGACAAGGGTGAAAACGTAGAAAAACAAGGTTTTCTTTGCTTCTGCTGTGAAGGAAGTACTTGAATTCATTATTGACAGAATTGTAATTGATAAAGAAAATTGAAAACTGATAAAAACTACAGGAGATCTTAAACTTGTTTAATATGTTTAAATCTTTCTTTTTGAACAGTCTACTTTTGCAGTATTAAAATTTCTTTAACCTGATCTTATTTTGAATTTAGTGTTACAACAAATAGAAGATTATACTGGTTTGTGTCCAGAGATAATTTCTAACTTTTTTTTTTCTTTCCAATTATGATGTATGTGCACATGCACATGAAGGTTAACTGCTGAGTAATAATTCTTTAAAAACTCTGTTCCTCTTAAACCATAACTAAAAGAGCTATAGAAAAGCTATGCTTGGCATGGTTTATTCTTTGACTTGACCATCTGAGGTTGATTGATAAAGATGATCAGTTAGACAATGGTTGTGTGGGATTACATTTTTGAGTTACACTTCTGCCTTTGTAAACTTAAATACTTAATGCATTTCGTATACAAGGCTGCTGTTTGTGATCTCTTACTATTTGGAAGTCGTAAGGTATATGATTTGCAGTTGCTCTGATTATATAAAATGCTCTAAACTTCAATAGTGTCACTGACACAGATGTGAAGGAAAATAATATTAATGAGAAATGTGTCCCTACCATTCACATCCATACCATACCATGCCCATACCTTTTCTCTTGCTTTCTTGTTTTTAAAGAATTACTATGAAGAGCACACGTGAAGTGAAGATTAATAGATTCCCTTCTGAAATGCTGTAGGGATTACTTGAATTGGAATCTTTTATATGGTAGTTCTTTAAATATATAAACTGTTTGTTTATGTTTACAGTGACTTGACAATCCCTACTATTGTTGTACTGAATACCTCCAATCAGCAATATTTTCTACCAGATAGGCACATTGAGAGCACAGAAGACATGGTTCAATTTATTAACAATATCCTGGATGGTACAGCTGAAGTAAGTCTTCATAGTAGCTTGGAATATATTGGTTAGTGTTTATTTCCTTATATGCTAAAGTGAGGAAAAAAATTGGTTACTCAGATTGTTATGTGTGTGTTTAATATTCCTGTCCTGTTTTACTGTCTTGGGTGCTGTCTCTGAATATGTGATTGTAAATTCTGGAGTCATGCTGTTGCATGTTGTACAAAGCCTGCTTTCTTTTGTTTATAGCATAATGGTAGCCAGCTTCTTTTGATATTCCTTTTACTGGTGCAGTTGTAAATGGAGTTGGATATTCATCTCCTGGTTTGCATTAAATGTATTTGTTTAAAATTTTGAATGATAGTGCATAATTGAACTGCACCCTTTTTCTTTGGGTGGAAAATTAATAAATCAAATAGCTGGAAGAATTACAACTTCAGAGTCAAAAAAACAGTATTATATTTGCTTTGAATGTTAGAAATGGACACAAGCTTACTCCTCTGTGCTCTAAAACCAGAAAAAGATGTATTTTGTTAAAACAACAAAGTTAATTGGAATTGATGACTTGGATATTTTTTGAGTATTTATTCCCTCAATGTACTGTAAGTTGAACAGAAAGCTATGTTGTGTGAATGAAGAAAGAGGTCGTGGAGCAGAACTTTCATTTGTGCTTCTGGGGAAGGAAGGCTTTGCCACAGAGGGGAGCTTGGTAGCTAATAATTTGGCTGCTTCCTAGGAGAAGCCTGTTTTTGGTTTAAGCCCCAACTGACTGTATATTGAATGCTTCCTGTGTTAGCTGAATCCCACTTCATGCCTGTAGTTTTAGAACATTGGCTGGTAATGGAAAATAATACAGAAGATATTTGTCATGTGGGGTTTAATTTTGTTTACTTAATCTGCCTGGTTGATGTAGAACATGACATCGGTGGGTTTATGTGCTGCTCAGGACTTTACTGGCCATGCTTTCCATTGCAGTGTGAGCAGTATTACTATAACTTGGTGGTTCTTTGTTCTTGAGTTCTCGCTTTTTAAATGGCTTTTAAGCGCATTGAATTATCAACATCAATTAGACTCTAATTGTATGTCTCTTTCTGGTTGAAACAACAAATGTAATTGGTTTCTGTCTGGTTTTTTTTTTTTTTACTTGGAGAAGAATTATTTGTGATGCCTTATGTCTGTTGCCGTAGTGTCAGTTAGGTCTTTCTACCTTTTGTTTGCAGTATCTCAGCTAGAGTGATTAAAGGTCAGTCTAAATACACATCTCTGTACAACACAAAAATACGGGATATGACTTCATTTAAGGTGTTTGTAGACATAAAATTGCACTACTTTGGCTGCATTCTCTGCCCAAGAAATGGTGCAGCTCTTGAAGAATGAGAGTCTTCAAAGTATGCTGGTAAAAAACTAATAGGCTGCAGACTTTCTGAACCACAGAGAAACTTCTGAGAAGTCTGGCTTTCCCCCTTCTCTTCCTTGGGAAGTGTTCGATTATTCACCTGGATGATACTGTTATTCTGTAAGACTATAGGTAACTTTTTGTGATTCTGTCTCGTCTTTGTGGACATTTTTTGCTGTTTGAGGGGTTTTTGGTCAGATCATGTGCTGATGAGTTGACTTCCAAATATGAGTTTGTTTCTTTGGCTACTCAAGGAAGGTGAAAGCTGGTCCTGTTCAGCAGACAGACTGCCCTCTGTTCTTGTAGTTATTTTGAACACTGCTGAATTAGGGAACAGAGTAGGTATAGCCTGTCATTGCTTGACACAGGTTTTATTCATTACACGTTCATATCTTCTCTTTGCTTAGTACTTAGATGTTTTTAACTGTGCTGTCGTGATCCATAAGTGGATGTTCAACAGCTGCAGGAAAGTTCAGAAGAACTCTGCAGTTTTACATTGTTACATTGGGGAAGTTGCTAGTTTTTGTTAGTGTTTGCTTATGGTAAGAGAGACAGTGTCAGCCCATTGTCCCGGTTGGCACTGATAGTTTAAAACAATTGTGAGGGACTTATACATGAGACTACTGAATAATCTTTATCCAGGCTTGGCAAATTGGCATGTCTGGGCATCATGAGATGTAAGAATAATTACTTTTCATTTCCTTCTAAAGGGACTTAAGATTGCAAGGTCTGAAGAATGAACTTTTGGAATCATAACTGAAAAGTGTCAGCAGTTTTGACATGGTTCCATTTGAAATTTCAGGCACAGGGTGGTGATGGACTTCTGCAACGAATCAAGAGAATAATCTATGATGCCAAGTCTACTATAGTGGTAAGTTTTATGTTTCATTGAATTAGATGGTGCCCGTGTCAGTCAGGATACAAATACTTTCAGAGGGTTTAAAAAATATTTTTATATGAGTTGTTTGATATTGTGTATATATCATAGGTATATGTATAGGTTTAAGCTAAATGAACTTCTTGATTAAATTTTTTTATAATATGTATAATTAATATTCAAGATATCTTAATTCCTTCATTTTTAGTGTTCTTCTGTATGTCTGACATGTATTTTAAGGGATAGAACAGAGAGAATTCAAGATCTTTTCCTTGACCCTTTTGACATCCTTTCCTGAAACTGGTGCTTCACTGTTCTGAGGAATGTTACATTTTTTGTTTAGTTACTTAGAGCATAAGGGGATTAAATACTACTATTTGTGTAGTTCTAAAGCAAACATTTTTATTATCTTTCTCATAAGTAAATTATGCTTAACAAAATTTTGTGGGAAGATGTACACAAATCCATTTCTTCATTTGTCCTACACAAGCAAATAAACCTATGCTGTGAATTTAAGTTGAAACTCACTTGCTTCTAAATGAGTGTCTTCCAAACTTCTGTGAAAGTAAAATGTTTTTCTGAAACCATTAATCCTTCTTCCTGTGCCATTAAGCTACTACTCCTCAACAGGAAGCTCTCTAGAATTTTCTGCAGACTAATTTTTGACAAGACACAAGTAAGAAGTAAAACTTTTTTCTTCAAAGTGGATTTTAACGCTCTTAGAACAATTGTTTCTAAAACTTCAAGGAAGGCATAGGATATGCAGTTGGCGTGTAAACATGAATTATCCCAATGCAATATTGTTATACTGAACTTGTGTCATTTTTTTATGAACTTACAGTAGAAATTGTTGAAGTTAAGGACTTCTTGCCTTTTTTGCAGAAGAAAGCAAACAAACAAACCTTATAAAAAAATCCCACAAAGCAACAGCAGTAATAAAACCCAGACCAAACAAGCAGAAAAATCAAAATAACACATTCATTAGGACAAGAGGACACAGTCTTGAGTTGTGCTAGGGAACGTTTAGGTTGTACATTAGAAAGAGGTTGTTGACTGAAAGGGTGATTGGGCATTGGAATGGACTGCTTAGGGATGTGATGGGGTTCACCATCCCTGGAGGTGTTTAATAAAAGACTGGGCACACACTTAGTGTTGTGCCCTTGTTGGTGGTGTTATGTTATAGATTGGATTTGATGATCTGAAAGATCTTTTCCAAACTACTTGATTTCATGATCCCTCCGAAAAACACTGATTTTCATTTTGGATGTTTTTTGAATAAATACACAGAGTGGTAAGAGAAGTAATGCAGTAACTTTGTATATTCACTGAAAGTGGTTTTTACTTTCTATTTCAACAGTCTGTGTTCAAGAGTTCACCGCTGCTGGGATGCTTTCTCTTTGGGTTGCCCTTGGGGGTCATCAGCATCATGTGTTATGGAATCTGCACAGCTGATACAGAGGGAGAGGTATTTGAGCATGAGGGAGCCAAGAAAGAAAGTGGTGATCGAGAGCTCACAGATGAAGGCAGTGAGGAAGAACAAGAGGAGGAAAAGAATGGAAAATACACAGAACTTTCAGATGGAGAGCTTAAACAGAAAGACATTATGGAAAAGAAAAAAGACTAATTTGTTTAGCAAGAGAATTCTCTAGAATTTCCAAATAGACTTATTTATTGGCGGTTGTCATTTATTGGTTATCTTCATGAAAGAGGATTGTTTTATCTACATAATGGTAGTTTTGACTTGCATGTGTTCACATTTTCTCAGAAATTGACAGAAAAAAAATGGATGTTCTCTTAATTGTCCTTAGTAGATTAACAAAGAGCAATTTAAACTGAAGAAATTTTCAGGTACAGTTCTGTACCATTTTTGTAAGAGTTTTGAATTGTTCATTTCCAGAACAGAGATAATGTTACTTACTATATGTACTAATATAGCCCAGCTATGCACTGATTCATATAAAATTAAAGCTGAAAACAAGGAAAGGTTAAGAGAGCTGTAAAGTGTTTTAGAGCCTGATAGCTGAAGACAACTTAAAAGTTTCCTAAGAAGTCACGTGTTCTACCTGTTGCACATTATTATGGGAAAAGAAAAACAAAAACCAAAACAACAAACTTTTCTATTTCTTCAAATTAAATGTAAATTTCTGAGAATTGGAGGACTGTTCTACCATGTAATAATACAATTATTCACAGTCAAGAATGTTTACTTGATATAGGATGTGGGAATTATATACGAAGTGTTTATTAGTGCTTTAGCAGCTAAAAATATTGGAAAATTATGTTAAAAACCTTTTAGAACATGATTGCCTGTTAATTACTTTTTGTGGGTGCTTGCACACTTACAGTGCAAAAGATCTGTAAGATTTCTGAATCCGCAGCACAGCTTGATAAAGGAAGATGTCAGTATGAACACCTTCTATTTGTATAACTCTGTAATGAATGGTGTTTATTTATTTTACAGTGTTTACTTGAGATTGTTATATATCTTTGAAATAGGTGGTTTTGTTTGAGACTGTTACCTACTCTGAAGGAGAGTGTTAATGAAGCTTAATATTAACATTGATAGAGATTGATCAGTATAAAGCATTTTTGTTACCTGTTTCATCATAAAAGCCACTATTAATACAAACCCATGACTGCAAAAATGACTAATTTGTGTCCAGGGCTAAAACTTTCCAATGATAAGCTATAAGGCAGCCTTTGACAGCAATGTCATGGAAAGTACCACAAAAACAAAACTTATATTTCTCTGCCTCAAACTATTCATGCTGGGTTTTTTCATTTTATTTCTCTTTTTTTTAAAGGATATATTACTGTATAATACAAAACATTAGGTCCTCTTTATAAGGCAGCTTGATCACATAAGAAATTGCTATTTACTGCTATAGCACTAAATTAAACAATTTTAAATAGTAACCATGAGTAAGCTTAAATAGACACGTTCTATGTTTGAGTAAATCCGATGATGCTGTAGAATCACAACCAGGGAAAACGTATTGCATTCTTTTTCCCTGTGGGAAAGAAACTTGTTTCTTCTGTTTATGTAGCTTGGTAACAGCTGGCTTCAGGTTGGCCATGCAGAGTACCTTAAGCAGATCTCTGACTTGAAAGATTGTGGTTATCAAACAGTATAAACAACATGTAAAGAGATTAGGAAATTTTTTTGGAAAAATTCCATGTCTGATTATGAATACAAACCTTTTCCTTTTTGAAGGAAAGATTATAAGTGAGGTCATAGAACACTGAGTAGTAGGTATCTGATACGGTTTTCCCCCCCCCTTTTTATGTTTTCTCTGTTTTCTTTCTATGAATTGCCTTTTTTTCATTTTTGTCATTATAGCCAGTTGTACATGTAACTTGAGTTTTCTTGCTTTTTGTTGAGGTTTTGTTTTTTTTTTTTTTTTGTAGAACCTTTGAGAGGTGTAGGTTTAGCATATACATGAGGAATAGGTGCTTAAAAATGTGTTTAGAAAGGGGTATTTTGTTTTTAATGGTATTAAGCTCCTGAGCTGTTTATCAAAAAAAAATGTTAAAAATCACTTAATGAAAAACTTGTAAATTTCTTTGAGCTTCTGCACAACTCAGTGCTGATAGTCAAAATGTAGGACTATTAAGGCAGTAGTATGTTTTCTTTGTCTCTTAAGATTTTGGTACAGATCAGTTGCATATTTAATGTTGGCTCAGGCTGGAAACCTGCAGCTTTTGACTTAATAAAAAAAACCTGAAGTGGTCACTGGAACTGTGCTGTTCCTTCTCTGGAGTGTAGTGAAAAGAAAAAAAAAAGCCTGAGTTGTGCTGCACTGCTAAGAACTGTTTCAACGTGGAGCCTTCTTTTTTGTGGTTATTTTTGTTTATGTTTATAATGACTAGCTGGGAAGTATTCTGAGATGTGGACCTGAATAATGATAAATACTGTGGAAGAAATGGATCACGCTGGGATCTGTTCAAACTGTAGCACTTAATAGCTGGAGTTAGGAGGAAAGCTTGTATGCCAGTCACTTCTGAACTCTAATATCTATCAGATGTGTAGTGAACTGTTGAAAATTAGACTTGAAATATATTGCTGTTTTCATCAAATCCTTCCCTCAGCGACATTGAACAAGTCATGGGGAGAAAAAAAAAGGGGGCAGGACATATACTGGGTGTCAGAAGTGATGTGACATTAAGGTGTTTGCCGTGGTCACTCAAGTAATCTAGAGTGCTGTCTGAGGAGGGGCATTTTATTTCTTTTCCTCAGTCTCTAGAGGTTTCTTAAAGCAACTTCACTGTAATGACTTTGGATTCATAAAATAATGCTGCTTTTTTAAGTCAAGTGTAAGCCTTTTGTTTTTCTGTAATAAAAAGGATTTAAAAGAGCTTGTTTCCTTTGGATTAATTTACAGTGTCAAGCTTAGATGTTACATGTTGTGTAGGAGGCTGTTTCCTGGGATGTGTCTTGTAAGTGTACTTTAGGCCCCCAGTCCTGCAGTGCAGAAATTCAGCTGTTATTCTGCAGGATTTTGAAAATAGTCTCTAGAGGTAGGAGTTTATATTTGCTTGTCTGTGATTTAATGAGCACTCTTAGCAGTATAATACAAATGAATTTCCAAAAAAAGAAATTTTAAAATACCAGACCTACAGGAGTTTCTGTAGCAAAGGGAACCTGAGTCAGCCTGTCCTAGCTTACATTTCCTTCTGGAAGCACTTGAGTAGTCTTGGCACTTGGACGTGCACAGTCTCATGCTGCTTCATTATTTACCTGGGCTGTTTTAACAGCTCTTGTCCACACTGTGGTGCTCACTGCTTAAAGGATGGGAGGATGGCACTCAGACATCTGATGTGATGAAGATGGCACAAAAGTGCTTAATTCTCATGAAGTACTTCAGTAAAAGGTTCAGCTTGCTCTGTTTTGGTCCAGAACTAATTACCCGATTCCTCTTTAGTCAGCATGTTTGGAGAAGCAATTGTATTTGGAGGAGTGGGAGGGTGGAGGATTGTTCTGTTGACAGCCAAAAGCTCAAGTCAGTGAAAAGGGTGCAAAACCAGAATGTATTTCCCTTAAGCTGTTGAAATCTCCTGAGACTACAGATGTTTCAGGCTGTATTATCCTGTGACAGACTGGTACTGGCTCTCAAATCTTCTCGGGGAGCAAAGCCAGTTTCTGCAGGTTTGTTCCCATAACTGAGCACATCTGTTACAGATTGAATCACACTGAGCTGGGGCACCTCACATTGCTGGAACCAGCAAAGACAATTTTGACAGTATTGTGCTGAATGCTTTGTTGGGCTCCTGGGAGGTTTTCCAAAGCTGCCTGGGCAATGTACATGTTCCTGAAACAATTCTCTGATTTCTGAAATTTTAACCATTTTAAAGGATTAGTATGACTATCCTGTATAAAGTTTACTGACATAAAGCACCATTTATCAACTGATGTGAACTTTACTGTTGCTAGCAAACTTCCTTCTGCTTCTACACTGAGTAGAGAAAAATGCAGGAATAGCAAGGATACATATACCACAAGTATTTTACATAAAACATTTTTGAATGGAGAATTGTGGCAATAAAAATATTCAGGAATAAAACCTTTGAAGAGAAGCAAGAAAACCTCTAAGGGAATTGCTAGCAAGAAGAATAGAATTTCTTTGTATTTCAGTTGCAAGATTGGTGTAGACTTCATCTGGGGTTGATGACTGTCCTGGCCAAAATGGTGGGTGGTTTTAGGCTGTCTTGAGTTAAGAGATGGAAGCTTTGCTAAGCTCTATAGCTTACACATGAGGGAGATGAAAATGCATAGACAAAAGCAATGGGAGTGGGAGAAAGGAATGGAGGAGGGCCATATGTTTTCATACCAGTGTCTTATGCTATGAGCGATGTTTAACATAAAATCCCACTGGTATGCATGTAAGTCCTTCCAAAAGAAATCTTCTATTCCCTACTTGCTGTACAGAGAGCCTTTGGCTGTTAAATTTGCCTGCCATACAGCGAGTGACATTACTACCAAATCAAGGTTATTTTTGGAAGTTTTTGCCATTTCTCCACAGAAATGTACACCTTATTTTGAGGTTACTCAAGATACTTTAATGGTCATCGTTTGTTCAAAACAAGACCCGAACCCCAACTCTCTTTTGTCTTAGGTTACTACATCTCTAATTTAAAGGAATGACAATTTGTAGCATACTTAAATTTGTGCTAAGGTGGCAACTTGCAGTCTTAATGCTTTCAGGAATTAAAGATCTAATCAATAGTATAGAATGTATATTTTCATCTTGAAGAAGTGGCTTGTGTTTTTCTAAATTAAAAAATACATATATTGCAATAGTGGCTGCAATTTTATTCTCTTTACTTGAATAGCAAATGTTGACTCAATCTAAAATAGACAATATGCTATTCATAGACTGTTAAAACTTCGTCACAACACTAAGAGAAAACAAAAAGACTTT